ATCTGGTTTCATGTGATTATGTATTTAAATTATGCATGAATATTCCCAAACACGATGACAGTGCGATGTCTGTGTGAGATATGTGATTGTTGTCATATTTCTATAAAAATGTAAAATACATGTTTGTATTAAAGTAAAAATGGATGATAAATACACCTTTCGTATGGAATTAAATAGCAAGCACTTTGAGTGTCTTGTTCATCATATTTATTTTCATATAAAAGTAACAGAACTGAAATTATATCATGTTTATTAGCAACAAAGCATGTAAGTGAGAATAACGCGATATCCGCCTTTGATCTCGTTGGTATCTGTTCCACTTCGAGAGGTCAGAACTGTCCGTCTTGACTGCGCTTATTTCACTCCTCCCCTCACTGCAGCCGCCTACTCTCGCCTACCTTTCAGGTTTGTTTATATACTATTTGTGGGTGGCTGTTTGTTGTTTCACCTATCAATTCGTGTCGATAAAGTATAATAGGGTAAATCCTGTATAGTGATTTATCCTATATAGTGCTTGCATAAAGCAAGTAGTGCATACACTTGTAGCTGTTATGTATCTTTGTAAGTCATTGTAAGCCCTCTTTTGAGGCATGCGCAAGCGCAAGACTTAAAAAAATAAACTATTGTACAGGAGACTTTTGTATTGCTTTCAGCAATAAAGCTAGCACTTATGAACATGTTTTATGATGATATGTCTTTTGGTTTTGCTCTTACAGCACAGATCACCTAAACACTCATTTGGCAACATTACAGATGTACAGTACAGAGACACATTCTCTAGAACCATTTTGCATTTTATTGCAGCACTATCATTGGTGTTAACACACTTATTTGTGGCAGAACTGTCACTTAGGTAACATTTTATTCTGGAATGAGACCTGGGTGTTCTGTTGGAGCATATACTTATGGGAAAAGACATATTTAGCAAAAGGCTGCATGAAGATAACCATGAAAACCATGCTAATTAGCTGTTGCATGTATGAAACACTTGGCATTTTAGTACTACTGTTTTTCTAAACTGTTATTTCATTACATTTAGTGCTTAATAAAGATCTATTCTATCCTGTACCCATAATCCCTCACAGCCATTTCGCTGCACAAATGCTGCCCTCTGTTGGCCATAGAGATGTAATAACATGAAGTTTTGACAGCTTGTGCATTTGTCATCTTTATTAGTGCACATCTGAATGACTGACAGCAGGAGCTTATCACAAAAACTTTAAGATTGTCTCACACTTGCTTCTCTCTCTTTTTTCAAATGTTTGAGATGTGCATTTTCTGTCTGTGACTACTAAATGCTCCAATGACTTCCACGATTCTACGTGACAATTTAATGCTCTGAATTGCATTGCTCATTATGCTACTGTGTTTATAAAAGGGTATATTAACATTAAAATATTTAAGCAAAGTATACAGAAAGTAGACAGAAACTGATACTACAGGAACAAAATAAGAAACACAATCTATAAAACTCATTCTTTATTCTATAAACTGTAGTATATTCAGAATGACAACACAAGTCTTTGCAAACTACCAAATGGTGCCCAAAGTTGAAAGTATCAATTTTACAGCAAATGCTTTTGACTGTACTTCAATTCAGAACTTTTTTATACTGTAAAATGTTTGATAAATGTAAATGCTTCTAAGTTAAATGATGCAAGTGTGTGAAACTGTTAAATAAACTTTAAGAAATGAGCGTCTCTAATGTCGGTGTACATTATTGACTAGCGTAAGGCGAGTAACAGTACAGAATACATGATTTTAAGGCTGATACTCATAATCTGGTCCATAAAATAACATGATCCTAATGATAATTTGAAAAGCATCCTGACACAAGCAGTCTGCAAACCTGCCCTAGTGGAAAAATAAAGAAAACAAATGCATTTCTTAGATTACATTACAACTCAACTCATAACACTAATGGCAATGTGGTATGCACATGATTTCGTCATATACCACGATGGTCACAAAATATTGTTACTATTAAAATAACAGACAATATGAATTACAATGAGCCAGCAAGACAGTCTGGAAAAACATACCCGACATAGATCATACATGTTCATACTCTCTCTTACATAAACACAAGTAGCATCCTCATATTTCAGATGATGCCGTACATTCACAGGATTTTGAAAATAATATCTCTAGTGCCAAGTCTAATTTCTTACAGGGAAGCCTGAACAAAATAAAAAAAAATCAAAACAAGTCCATAGTACATTCAGTACTGTTGCTGGCTTTTATTACAATCAGACAATCAATCAATTTAAATTTTTTTTTCATTTGAATGTTTATCTAGAGTCAAGAGCCAACCAGGAAAAAGGATAAAGGGGTTGAGGATAGCAGAAATCACTTTCAGCTGCTGTGTTTAGTGATGGCTGGTGACGGGACATTGGGTCCAGCTCTCGGATGCCCCCTGCTGCCTGGCTCAATATAACCGCTTCTCATAACTGCCGAGGAAAGCAAAGCAACACAACCTTAATAAATGCAGTTACATTGATTACAGGGCCGGAGTGGGACTCATTTTCAGCCCTGGAGTTTCATGCATGCGACCGGCCCACTTTAGTTTACGACTGAGCTATTAAAATAATTAAAACCTTAGTATATAAGTCTGCAATAGTGCACTGTTCTCTACAGCCTTGTAATTCATTGTAATTTTCTAGAGCTTTTGTTTATATATATATATATATACACACATACTGGCCTTTTCAGTGCTGTCTTTGCACTTTATCCATTTTTTATCTATAATTTTTTTGCTCGCATATCTCCAACAACTGTATGTTTTTTTTTTTTTTCTTAGCAAGGTGCCGCAAATGGAAAATAAGGGACAATTGTGATTCATAAGAAAATAAGGGACAGAATAAGGGACGCTCAAAATATTTGTACTGTACCATAATGTATGTCTGCCTGCAGTCTTTTTAAATGACACTTAAATTTTTGAACTAAAATATTATTGCAACCATATAGGCTAGCCTATGAATGAATGAAAATGCATTTTTTTAATTAAAGAAAACTTAGAGAGTGCGGCCTACTTCTGGTGCTTGGATTTGTACTTCAATAATATACTGAGGTCCAAGTTTAAGAATGCACTAGAAGGTAAATTTTTAAAAATGTATTTCTCTCTCTCTATTTAACAGCATTAACAGAAATTGGCCCTCACGGCCAAAAAACTGACCGGCCCACCGGGAATCCTCTCGGTGCTCCCGATTAGCCAGTCCGGGCCTGATTGATTATATTATTAAATTAAAGGTTTTTACAAACATGTCAGCATAACCAATTGAAGGAACAGTTTGCCCAAAAATTTAAATAAAAAAGCAGCATGGAAGTATCATAAGAGTGCCTTTCAGCAAGGAACAGACTACAATTTAAGACGTTACACAGTCTCAAATATAATTTGTGCATCCACATATTGAAACTTGCATACTGTCATCGGTTATGAGATGCATGAGAATCAATGGCTTTAAAGATGTCAAATCTAGTGACGATTTAAATTCCAGTCTGTTCTTCACACAAAGCTATTATATGGCTTCAGAAGATATGAAATACAGTGCCAAGTCAGAAGTCAGAAAAAAAAAGCCCTGAAATTTTCGAGTGGATAAATGATGACAGAACTGTCATTTTTGGGTAAACTATCCTTTTAAAGGTGGGGTAAGCGATTTCTGGTAGCCACTGTTGACATTTGAAATCACCAAAACAAACACGCCCCTACCCCAAAAGGGTCTCGCCCCCTATTTTGATAGCTCCGCCCCACACATAGGTACGCAACCCAGGCAACGATTAGTTCTGTGAAACAAAGCAAAACAAATTAACGACATTATTAACCTGTCTTTACATTTATTTTGAAAGATGAAGCTTGCGATTATGGTAAGGGGCGTTACATTTCCGATGCGTGCTTGTGGTGTTCGGCCAATCACAATGCACTGGGTCAGCTGGCCAATCAGAGCAGACTGCGCTTGTCAAAGGAGGGGGCTTTGTGGAAAACGACGTGTTTGAGAGAGGCGGGGCATAGAGGACCTACAATAATGTACAGTATTTGAAAAATAATGTGTTTTTTGAACATTAAAGCATGTCAACATATTCTGTTATACCAAATACACAAAATAATGATCTTTAAAATAGCATCATATGGCCCCTTTAAGCCTTCTTTTATACCGCAGACGTTTTCCTCTTTTGTTTTTTATCCGCCATCTCTATCTTTCTGTCGCTCGGCTCGCTAATGTCCGTCCTGTGCACTGAACGCTCTCTCCTCCACATCATGAGTAGACACGCCCCTTACTGCTGATTGGCTACAAGTTTGTTTTTCTAGTCGGCCAGAATCAGTTTTCTAAAGCGTTTTTTGAAAAATCGCTTACCCCACCTTTAAATGTAGGAGTGGGTTTCTTTCAAGATAATCTCCCTTTCAAAGACGAGACTCTGATAGTATTACGAGTACACAACCACAGCACTGGGATAGTGGACACTACGTTTGTCTACATGATACGACAGTAAGAGGAAACTAAAATAGTCTCATTGCCCACTAAAGAGCCCAGACCTTAACGCTGTTTACAACACAATCCCCTCCACCAGAAATTAACGCTATTATAAATAACATGAGACGCTATCATACTTACATGGCACAAAAGAATATCTATGATGACAGCATAAGAGAAAGGAAGAGAAGACATTTTCACATGTAAACTCTACTTTTCCATGACAACGTAAGAAAGTATGGACTGAGGGTCTCTGAGAGGAACTTAAAAAAAAACAGAGGGGATTGCTAAACGTTTAGTTTTATGTGAACCACAAGAATTCTAATGATGTGAAATGTGTTCACAGCCATTTTTTGAGGGTATGTGCTGTGAGGAAAGAAACACGATGGTAGGGCAAGTGGTGGGGTTAAATGAGTGGGCGGAGACTTACGAATGCAGTCCATGAACTCCGCCCTCAACCTGAGCAGACATCGTCCTCTTCTCAAACTTCAGCTCTCCAGAGTACATCATCGATCTATATGTAACGCAGGTGAGACTTACACAGGTGTAGGTAAAAACAAACGACATTCTTTTTCGTGTTGATGTTTTCTTTCAGGAAGTCAAGTCGAAAAAAAAATGTCCTTCACTTTTTCTATGTTCTTATTTTTCCTTAATAAAAAAAAAGCAGCAATTATACCTTTTAATGCTGACAACCATGTTATTAGCTTGGCATGTGGTAGGAAAAAAGTTTGCACACTGATGTTCCAATAAGCCACTTTGAAACTCTCCTGTTATTTTATTTATTTGATTTTTTCCTTTAATATAGCCTACATTATGAACAGAACGGATATTTCAAACATACTGAAATACTTTAGCAGCGGAGCGAAGATGGAGCAGGGTTTCTGATATCAGTGATCGAGGAGTGGAGCGGGAGCGGGAAATGGTTAACCCGGAGAGGAGTGATTATTATATGCTCGGAGCGCGGAGGGGAAATTGTTGCCGCTCCACTCCGCTCACATACTCTGGTTTGAAACTATATATTGTTGAAGCATTAGTACAACTAAAGACACACAGTGAACCATGATTCACTACTATATACTGCTAGTTGAATGTAGGAAAGGAAAGGCAATATTCTTTTTCTAGAGAGAACTATTGAACAAAAATTTGTTTAGTGCAGAATGAGTATAATATTTTTAGTTCGTTTTTTTCCAGAAGAAAAAACTGCCGGCCAAAAGTTTGGAATAATTAAGACCTTGTAAATCACTAAGGCCCAATCCCAATTCTATTTTATACCCCTTCCCCTTCCCCTACCCCTCCGCCTACCCCTTCCCCTTGAAACAGAGTGTCAAGGGGTAGGGGTGAAAATATTCCCCTAAGAATTGGGACAGTTCACGTGATTCTCTGGAAAGGGGAAGGGCTAAGGGGTAGAATTGGGATTGGGCCTAAGAGTACAAATATTAATATTGTGAAATATTATTACAATAAAAAACTGTTTTAATATATTTAAAAATGTAATGTATTCCTCTGATAACAAAGCAAAATGTTCACCAGTTTTGTTGAAGCTCAACTATTAATAATGGCTCTTATTACTATTTTCAATGCTATGGAATAAATTACATTTTAAATATATTAAAATAGAAAACATTCCATTTTAGAAAATGTTGAAATTGTAATATTTCACAATATTACTGTTTTTACTGTGCTTTTATTAAATAAATACAGCCTTGTTGAGTTGGTGATGTCTTTTAAAATCCAAACTTTTGACCGGTAGTGTATGTCTGATAAAAAATTCCATTGGTCCATTGGTCCAGAAAGAAAGACTTATACGTTTATATCTGCTAAAAGCTCATTTAGTTAACTAGCTGCTATTTCTAAAAGCGACTAGAATACAGCAGATACTATCACAGAGATGGCATCAAATCTAATAAACATGAATTCAAAGTCACAAAAGTGCAATTTTGATTCCATGAAGTCTTTTGTCAAGCTTTTCAGATGTCTATAAAGGATGACACACTTACCGCAGAATGGACAAGCTCTTTGCACCGATATCCTGGCAGCCATGTTGAATTCCAGCAATGAGGTAAGGAACAAATTTGTGTATAGAGCCTTTATCCTGAACTGAGCCAGAGACTCCCTGAGCCACCTTCACTTTATCACCTTCACTGAAAAACACACACATATACACACAACCCATTATGTCCTGCATATAAAACACTACTATGATTTTTCATAGTCTTTTTTATTGCCATTTATGTGTATATTTTATTGTTTTAACCTTGTTTTGGACTTAAGACTCTAAAAATATAAAATTTGAATTGTTGCTATAAACTATAAAATTAGTGAAGAGCATATGTGAGATTAATACACCCGATGTTGTCTTTATGAATGTACACGAGGTCACCTGAGTTTAAGAGTGTTTACCTAAAGTAACGTTTCTGACTGCTGTTGTTTTTCTCCATGGCGTCCAACGAGCCCATGCCACGGTACTTCTTCAGTCGTACGCCGTCTGAGAAAAAATACTCACCGGGCGCTTCTGTGGTTGCTGCTAACAATGACCCCATCATCACTGAAACAAAGCAGGCAGAAGGGAAGGGCACGGTCAGGCACAGACAGTAAAATATAGGCAAACAAATCCCAGCCATTAATAACAATGATCGTTCAGGCAAATCACCCAGAAAAACACACACCTGTGGAAGCTCCCAACGCAAGGGCTTTGACAACGTGCCCAACCGTCTGGATGCCACCGTCTGCAATGACCGGAACCCCAAAACGCCGGGCGTATTCAGCCACTTTATACACAGACGTGCCCTGCGGTCTCCCACACGCCATCACTATATGATATACACACAACATGTACACATATTTACATTGCTATATAACATCTAATTAAATGTCTCCTGTTCTTAAAAATAAAATAAAATGATAATATTTGTCCCCAAAATCCTAACTCTAAAATAAAACTTTTGCCATTTTTAGACATGAATAAAATTACCATTTTTCCTTTTACCATTCATACACCTTTTTCTTGTTCATAAAATAAAATAAAGTAAAATAAATTAATCCCAAAAGTCCTAAAATAATTTTTGAATCCATTTTCAGACATGATTATAGGAATAATTTTCCTTTTAAGTATGTCTACATACACACATTTACTATTGCTATATAAATAGGTCATTCTTATTTTTTTCTTGTAATTCAAATTAATGAAATATAATAAAAACTAAAATGATAATTGCTATCCCCAAAATCTTTTTTTTTTTTTTGCTGTTAATAAAATAAAATATAAAATTAAAATAATTGCTAGAAACCAATCCCAAAATCTAAAAAAAAAAATGCTTCTGTCATTTCCAGAACTGAATTAAGACACCATTTTTCCTTTAAAATGTGTCCTCAAAGTTGTTTCACATTTAGCTAACTTTTGGGAAATTTCCACAGCAAGTTTGTCCTCCAAAGTCAGTCAAAAACTCACACATACCTTCCTGTGTGATGCAGATGGATCCACAGCCCATGCCCACTCGTAAAGCATCAACACCAGCATCTATAAGATGCTTTGCTTGAGCAGCAGTCACCACTGTATACAAGAGAAGGAGAATAAAACACAAAGAATATGCTATTACTCGATTTAAGTATGGAAAACAACTGTAGCTCCATGCATCTTAAATATATCTAATTTTACACACGTTATACAGAAAAGAACCACATAAAGGACAAAAAAGCCTCACCGTTTCCTCCCACCACTTGTAGTTCTGGGTATTTCTGTTTGATGTAGTTGATCATACTGATCTGAAACACTGAGTTCCCCTGAGAAGAGTCCTGAGACAGAATAACAGAAAAACCATCACATATCATGTAGGCTTAAGAGCTAAAAGGAACAACATTGTGTGTATACTGTGATTTTGGCCCCATTTTGCAGTCTGAGACCAACTTTGGAAATTGTAAAAGACTTCTCTTATTTTATGCAATATTATTTTAATTTTGTGTGTCACACAAGGAATGAATGGTTGATGCAATTCTATTCTGCAGTCCTGTAGAATTTAGGTTCTACCCTGCCCTAATCCACCTGCTAATTAATTTCCCAGTGAAACCAAAGAACTTGATTAGCTGGTTCACGTGTGTTTGATTAAAGATGTAGCCCAAAAGGTGTGACAGTACATTTTGGTTACATCTTTGCACATAAATCAAATTTTTTTTTTTACTGTCATTTGCAAGCGATGACATTATTCGGCAACTTTAGTCAATATTTGGCAACTACAACAACAAACACCTGTTGTTATTAAGTCTGATCTACGAAATTATTTGACCAACACAAAATCTAAACATCATAGACTGGTCACTTGACTCAGTACAAAGTATTCAAAATCCAAAGCTGTATAAGTGGTGTAGACATAAAAGTCATGGGGTCAGCGAGAAATGAATACTTTTATTCAGCAAGAATGCATTAAATTGATCAAAAGTGAGTGCAGACATTTATTATGCTGCAAAACATTGTAAATGCTGTTCTTTTGTACTTTCTATTTATCAAAGAATCCTAAAAAAATCCATCACGGTTTCTACAAAAATAATTAGCAGCAACATTGACAATACTAAGAAATATTTCTTAAGCAGCAAATCAGCATATTACTGGGGTTAGGTTAGGGTTAGACTACTGAAATTTCAAAATTCTGAAAACCTAATGGCTTCTGAAAATTCAGCTTTGCATCACATGAATAAATTGTATTTTAAAATATAATAAAATAGAAATCAGTTATTTCCCGTTTACATTAATAACAAAAGATTCTGATAAAGAAGGTCGAATCATTTTTATAAAGGGTTTACTTTATGGTAAGGAAATTGTTATTGGATGTATATATGGCCCTAATAATCTTAATGAGAATTTTTTGTACAAGTATTATATATACTGTAATAATGTTATTTTGGGCGGTGATTTTAATGGTTTTCTTAATCCTACCTTGGATAAATCACCCTCAGTTACTTTCGCGCCACAAGTTGCCCTGGTCACTATCTCTATACGTCTAATAGATAGTCCAAAAACTTCTTATTTCTGGAAATTAAAGCCTTATTATTTGATCAGTTTGTGGAATATCTAAAGGAGAAAACAGATTATTAATCCTTTGTAATGATTTAGAAGAGACTGATCCCAGAATGTTATGGGATGCCTACAAAGCTTATATTAGAGGTATGATAATTGCTTACGTAAGTAAAAAGAACAAGGATAAAATAGCTAAACAACTTCAATTAGAAAAGCAAATATCCCATTTACAAAGGCAGTATTATATCTCAAAATCTGAAGATGTACTTACCCAAATAAAGCATATTAGGACGTTATTAAATGATTTGTTGGCTGAGAGAGATATTCTTTTTGCTAGACAACATTTATTTGAGATTGGAAATAAATCCAATCGTTTGTTGGCAAAACTTATAAAGAACAGACCAGGCAAAAATTTTATCTCAGCGGTGAGAGATGGAGAGGGGAGAAGGTGTACTGATGACAAATAAATTAACAATGTATTTAGACAGTTTTATGTTGCATTGTATTCATCTGAAGGTAACTCATACAGTCTAAAAGACAGCTCTTTTTTATTTTATTTAGTGGTCCCAAATATAACTAGACAGCATGATTTATTAGAATCCCCTTTCTCTTTGACAGAAGTTTTTTGACAGAAGAAAAACTTTGGATCTTAATTTGTGAGGCTCTTTCAGACATTTGTAAGGTTACAGTTAAAGCTTCACCTATTATGTGTTTACTCAACATTTTGCCTCCTCCTTTACAGGAACATAAAGACATTATTCATCCTTTATTGATGCTGTCATAGAAAGCCATTATGAACAAATGGATTGGGGATAGCCCTCCCTTTTAAAGGGAATGGCTATTTATTTATGATAAAAGACCCTAGAAAAACTAAGATTCCATCTTATGGGTAAATTTATGTCATTTAACAGAATGTGGGAAGAACCATTGAGATCTTTGGGGGTTAGTGAAGATCCCAGCATAATATGAAAAATGTAATAAAAATCTACATACCCCTATTTATTTATTTGGTTATAAAAATATGGTGATATAAATTGGACATGGTTGTTTTTGTTTTCCTCCATTATGTGTTTTGATGAATATTTTCCATGTATGTTCTTTTCTTTTTTTTATATATGTTTTTGTTATTTTTGTTTTTATTATTGTTGATACTATTATTATTTTGGCTTTTCTGTTGTGATCCTGATTTGTAATATGTTTTGTGCGATACCCACTGGTTGCTGATCAATTAATAATAATAATAAAAATAATAAAAAAAGAAATCAGTTATTTTAAATTGCAATATTATTCATAATTTTACTGTTTATATTGCATTTTTGATCAGATAAATGGCCCAGAGCCTGGTCACGGCCTAGAGCCTGAAATCACATTGCAGGATTATTTCGAATGCCAGCTTTCAAAATTTTACTGCAACCCTTCCCTCAAACACCTGCCAATATTTTTAAGTAAAGTCAAACATCTTGATTTTCTGGTTCACACTTTAAGGGCGTTTCACACTTGCTAACTCTCCAAATCTGGCCTCCATATAGCAAACTAAACTGTGGCAATCTCAGAAAATGATCAGAATATGGTTTACTCATAACATACATTGTGAGCACAAAGCATCCCAGGTACACTTTTATTTTCATGTTTGTTTAATTCAAACTACCTTTGTTTGGGCCAATACAGTTTACCACTGAAAAGCGTGAAAACATGCTAATGCTGTATTCCACTACCCGACACATGGAACAAAGAAATCAAATGGAAATGCTATTTTTAGCTTTGCAGGTGTTTGACTGTAAACAAAGTCTCCATTGCATGTTTTCTGCAGGTGTATGATTATAGAGAGGGTCATTTACCATGTTTGACACATTTGTCTCTGTTTGCTAAACAGGTTTGTTGCTAAAGGTTTTCTTTCGTCATGTTGGAAATTTGACTCGCTGATGCATTTTTTTGCTTAAAGGAATGGCTCACCCAAAAATGAAAATTCGCTCAAAATGCACACCCTCCGGCCATCCAAGATGTAGATGAGTTGTTTCTTTTACAGAACAGATTTGGAGAAATTGAGCACACTGCAAAAACTGCTTTTCTTACTTAGATTTTTTGTCTTGTTTCCAGCCAAAATATCTAAAAATTCTTAAATCAAGAAGGATTTTCTAGACAAGTAAAAATTATTGTCTTGTTTTCAGAAAAAAACAAGTCAAAATTAAGTGAGTTTTTGCTTAGAACAAGCAAAATAATCTGCCAATGGGGTAAGCAAAATAAGATTATTTTGCTTGTTCTAAGCAAAAACTCACTTAATTTTGACTTCACTTAATCTTCTGAAAACAAGACAATTTTTACTTGTCTAGAAAATCCTTCTTAATTTAAGAATTTTTAGATATTTTGACTGGAAACAAGACAAAAAATCTAAGCAAGAAAGGCATTTTTTACTGTGCATTACATCACTTGCTCACCAATGGATCCTCTGCAGTGAATGGGTGCCGTCAGAATGAGAGTTCAAACAGCTGATAAAAACATCACAATAATCCACAAGTAATCCGCACGACTCCAGTCCATCATTTAATGTCTTGTGAAGTGAAAAGCTGCATGTAAGAACCAAATTCATCATTAAGTTTTTAACTTCAAACCATTGCTTCCGGCACTCAAAGGACTGCTAGTTGCCTACTAATAGTAGTATTGCTTTCTCCAGTGAAAAAGTCACCCAAACTGGTGTCGAGGGGATTACTTGTGGATTATTGTGATGTTCTTATCAGCTGTTTGGACTCTCATTCTGACGGCACCCATTCACTGCAGAGGATCCAATGGTGAGCATGTAATGCTAAATTTCTGTTCTGATAAAGAAACAAACTTCTTAAAAAAAAAAAATCTTGGATGGCCTGAGGGTGAGTAAGTGTTTCTCATTAAATGTGTACATCTATTCTTGGTGTTGACATGTTTGCAGCTTGGCAGAACAAATTATGGAATTTTGCAAGAGAAATTCTGAGTTCTGTTGTTTTTGTCCGAATGTAAGTTTCAATGGAATGCAGCAAAAGTGATGCAAAAAGCTAGATCTCCAGAAAGAGCACTGTGTTCTGCTAAAGTTTAATGTCATTCTATTCCCCTTAGGACTCACCAGAACTATCATGTCCACTCCTGCCTGCATAAGCAGGTCTAGCCGATACTTGTCGTCCTCTCGGGTGCCGATGGCAGAGCCACACAGCAGCTGTTTGCGAGAGTCTTTGGAGGCTAGAGGATAGTCTCTGTTCTTCTTCAGATCGGTACGAGCTATTATAGCTACAAGCTCATCGCTGTCATTCACTATAGGCAGTTTACCTGAGAGAGAATAACAGGAATGTGATCAGCAAGCTTGTGCTAAACATCACAACATAAACAGGACTGAAGTTGAGGCTCATACCTTTTTTACTGCGCTGTAAGATGTCATTTGCCTCTTTTAACGTTACACCTGCTGGAGCAACCACTAAATCTTCTCGTTTTGTCATTGCCTGGAAGATTTAAGAAATTTCAGAAACTATCATTCATGCATATTAGTAGCATTAAATGACTATTATGAGTGTTTAAGGACAACAAAAATTTAGAATTGTTTATTTTCTTAATAAAAGCAACTGGTTTTATTGTGAATGATTCATCAGTGATCAATGTTTTATTTTAATTAAAAAAATATTTCAAATAAATGTTTTTTTGATATTCTTTTATATACATTGTTCAAATGTTTGGGTTTAAAATGTTTTTGAACGAAGCCCCATATGCTCACAAAGGCTGCATTTATTTTATCAAAACTACACTAAAAACAGTAACATTATGAAATATTATTACAATTTTAAAAACAATTTTAATACTATTTAACTATTTTAACCTATTTTAAAATGTAATTTATTCCTGTGATGGAAAAGCTGAATTTTCAGTAGTCATTACTACAGTCTTCAGTGTCACATGATTCTTCAGAAATCATTTTAATAAGCCAATTTGGTACTCAAGAAACTATTATTAGTTATCAATTTTCACTCAAATTGACACTTTCTGGAGGTTAAATTAATAATTAGATTATGAAACATCACTTAAATTGGAATCAAACTTCAAATTATTAAAGAATTAAATTAGAATTCAGAAAATTCAAATCACAAACCTCCTCCAGTGGCCTGTCGTAATCTTTCTCTGACAGGAAGTCAATGTCTCGTGACGTAACGATGCCCACCAGCTTGCTGCCCATCTTGCCGGTTTCTGTAACTGGGATGCCGGAGAAACCGTGCCGTACCTTTGCTTCAAACACATCGCCAACCGTGTGCCGTGGACTCATCACTACAGGGTCCGTAATGAAGCCCTGCTCAAATTTCTGCCAATATGACAGATACAAAAACATGTTAATTATTGGTAGTTATCATTTTACTGTATCTGGAATTTATATCTGGAATCTACAGTTTACCAGACTTACAAAATACAAGTTTCACTTTTTTTTTTTTTTTATTCCTCAAAATCGTCATCTCTTAACACTCATGTGACTGACCTTGACTTTCCGGACCTCATTGGCCTGGAACTCAGGTGTGCAGTTGTGATGAATAATTCCTATTCCACCCATGAGCTATGGGAAAAACCAGTGAATGAAATGGAAAAGCAATTACGATTCAGTACAAGTGCTGATATATAACGTTTCTGTGATTGTTACTTACAGCCATAGCGATGGCCATGGAGGACTCTGTGACTGTGTCCATGGGAGAGGAAATGAGTGGCGTCTTCAGGGTTATCTTGCGGGTCAGGGCAGATGTCAAATCCTATGACAACACATGACCGTTACAAAAAAATCATTGTCTATGTAATCAGACATGTTCAACTAAGCAAAGCTAATTTATAACATTTGGTAATTTTAGGAGCTCAACTTAAGTCTGCTACTTAGGTGCAAGTAAAAATGACCTTTTGTCATAAAATCATACAGGTTAAGAACAGCATAGGAAAATAATAATAAAAAAGGTAGTTTTTTGAGTGAACGATTTCTTTGCAAAAAACATTTACGGGTACACAGAACAGTGTTGCTATTGTTAAGTCAAACTAACACTATGACAAATTGTTAATTGAAATAAAGCTGAAGTAAAATAAAATATAATTGTGACCCTGGACCACAAAACCAGTCTCAAGTTGCACAGGTATATTTGTAGCAATCGATTTCGATATCGATTTACTTTTATGCCAAAAATCATTAGGATATTAAGTAAAGATCATGTTCCATGAAGATATTTTGTAATTTCCTACCGTAAATATATCAAAACTTAATTTTTGATTAGTATTATGCATTGCTAAGGTCTTCATTTGGACAACTTTAAAGGCAATTTTCTCAATATTTAGATTTTTTTTGCACCCTCAGATTCCAGACTTTCAAATAAGTTGTATCTCGGCCAAATATTGTCCTATCCTAACAAACCATACATCAATGGAAAGCTTATTTATTCAGATTGTTGTATCTCGGCCAAATATTGTCCTATCGTAACAAACCATACATCAATGGAAAGCTGAAACATAAATGAAACATAAATGAAAAAATGTTATGTTTTTGTTTACATAATATATGTGTGTGTACTATGTATATTTATTATGTATATAAAAATACACACATGCATGTATATTGTTTCAAATATTTACATGTATATATATATATATATTTTTTTTAGTTCACACATATATTATGTAAACAAAAACTTTTATTTTGGATGCAATTAATCGTTTGACAGCACTATAATAAATACTATAATTAGATACAAATATTACTAAAATAACACTGACTCAGTCACACAAGTTGACTTAATCAAACTGTAGACACTGTCACATCTTATTTTTCTTCTTTCTCTCTAACACCTGTGTCCCATCATTAACCACAGCTCAGCGTAATCTCAGAAGTGCTCAAAGAAAACACAAACAGTGTTGTGTACCTGCGTTTACATCAGCAGGAAACTAAACTGCCTGCCCTACTGGAAAATAAACATTTTAAACAGACTCACAGACTACCATGAACCAAAACATATATGAGATTTTCAACAAAATAAGTTGAAATAGTACCTATTAAGTTCAACCGATTCCCTGTTTAAATAAATCATTGGCTTATGATCTATCCCAGGAAAGAGAATTTGTTCCATCTTTAATTAAAAATGTGTTTAAAGTTGTGGTTCCAGGGGGACTGATATTTGTGTCATCCTGGACTCTCTCTCTCTCTGTCTCTGTCTCTCTCTCTCACACACACACACACACACCTGAGCTTCACTGCTTGTGACAACATGCCCAGAACACCAGGGACTGTGTGGATGTTAACACAGCCAAATTAACCTCTCATCCACACAAACACCTCCTTTGGTCCTTTGCAGACCTTCCACCTCACTGATAGTTAAAGAGCTCCTGTTCCATCAACTTAGCATCTGAGTTGATTCATGTGATCAAAAATGATCCTCTGCACTGAAACTGTTTACTAATACAAGAGCTTTTGAGGTCTGTTCCACCCATTTGTTGATAACCTCTGATAAATGTTGGTGGTACTCACCACTTCATCGGATGTGAAGTCAATGAAGCCAGGCAGTATGAGGAAATCACTGAATGAGGAAGGACAGATGGCAGAGTTAGGCAACAATGACCTTTGGATCAGCAATTTATGAATCAGAACATTATCAAAATTACAAAATGCTTAAACACACACTCAAATCAGTGTCAAAAAAGGAAAACCACTCTAAAACAAGCATACAACAAACTAAGGTTAATTCAGAATTTCGGGTATTATTATGGCTAGTTTATGCAAACATGACAGCAATGTATGCGACTACTAAACACTACTATTTATTTAGTAAGGATGCATTACATTATTACATTATTAGTAATGACATTTTTAATGTCACAAAATATTTCTATTTCGAATTAATGCTGTTATTTTGAACCTTCTATTTATCAAAGAAAAAAATGCATCATGGTTTCCACACTGTCAACACTGATAATAATAATAAATGTTTCTTGAGCAGCAAATCAGCATATTAGAATGATTTCTGAAGGATCATGTGACACTGACGACTGGAGTAATGATGCTGAAAATTCAGCTTAGCATCACAGGAATAAATTACTTTTTTTTGTTTTAATATATGAAAACAGAAAGCAGTTATTTTAAATTGTAATAATATTTCACAATATTTCTGTTTTTTGTATACTGATCAAATAAATGCAGCCTTGGTGAGCATAAGAGATTTCTTTCAAAAACGTATTATTAAAAAAAAAATATTAGCAAGTCGACTGATTATTTTAATGCAGTGCATGAGCAAATAAATATGCGTGTTTGCCTGTAGCATTAATACTTTAAGAAGCCACAAATGATAAACTTGCACGCGTACAGTATGTCTCTGGTCATGTCAAGAGGAGTTATATAATCTACTTAAGATGTGGCATACTGAGACGTCTTGTTAATGTTCTTAACCGTGTCACCAATGTCACACGCAAATACACATAGCCTCTAATGCAGCGGTACTATACTACAAAAGTGTGTGCAAATGAAAAAATATGAGATTTAGGTTTAGTCACTTGACAATTTTATTGCCTCCTTGCTGAGTAAAAGTATTAAATAAATCTGACCCCAAACTTAAAGTGGTACCCAAAACTTGATATATACGAAAGCATGTTATCAGTGTTGTTAGAATCTAACTTGACTTAAAAGCACTGTTATTGTTTCAGGGCTACAAATAGAAAGTGTTAAATGATATCCCTCACTTTAAAGCATGATAATGTAAAAATGGGACCGGATTTGTCTGTCTCGGGAGGATGTGTGAGAAGGCACTGTTCAGTGTCCCGCCCCATGTGGCCTAACGCTCATAAAACCTACATTAGACCAGATTAAACACTCCAGCCAGCATGACAAAAATAGACGCAGAGACCACTGCTCTGATAACAAGTTTTCATAAGGCTGGGAAAGCATAAACACATTCATATTCACACACAAACACAAGCTCATTTAATGCACTGGTGTAAAACATACTATGTTCATAAACAATCTGCATTTCTAATTGATACTAAAGCACATGTTGAGCAAGCAGGGACAAAAGGGACCACACATGCACTCTGGTTTTGCATTGTCCCATAAACACGGGTTGCATGTGGTGGGACTGAGCACTTGAGCTCCCCGTTGCTATGGAGATGCACGAGGGTTGCCATGGAGCTGAGAGCCATCTCACTGACAGATGTCCAGAAAGATGCCGCATGTGTGTCCCAGGGTGAAGCTACACATGATAGGACCTGTGCTGACATTGTGCTGTCCATGTCAGTCTTTGTGACTGACTACAAGGCAGGGCATCTAGAAAAGGTTTTTGTGCACATGATCCCTGACTTACCTGTACGTGAGACCATCACCGATGGCAAAGAGCTGCTGGGCAGTGAGTCCATCCTCTGGAACGTACCCAGTTCCACCGCTGATAAGGTAATCAGCCATGCTACAAACATACAAAAGAGAGTTTGTAACATGACATTTGGTTTCAACTTCAACCATCCACAGACAAAATGTACTGTATGACAGTGCATAAAAACAATGTTGTACCTATAAACTATGTAACAACTTTAAAACACCTCTTCAGAGAGGTATTGATTTGACATTGCATGTTATAGTGATACAACAGTGTCCTGCTGTGAAATATATATGTATATATATATATATATATATATATATATATTTGTTAGATAAAGGTGTCTGTTAAGTCACAAAATACAAAACTATAACAAACCATTCAAAGATACAAAATGATAAACCAATGAAAAATACAAATTGGCTACAAAGCATTCAAAAATACAAAGTGGTAACAAATAATACAAAGATGCAAAATGACGAGAAGCCATTCAATGATAGAATTAAAACATTAAAATTAAGAAATAAAAGCAAATTAACTTAACAGATTATTGTAGAATAAATCATAGCAAATAACAAAAGCATCAACATTAAAATTAAATATTTAGTAAATGCAGAAATAATAAAAGCTAAAGAATAAAAGCAAATTACTATTACTATTACAAATTAACTAAACAGACTTTTCTAAAAATAAATCAGTATAGATAATAACAATGTCACATAAATGCAAGTTACTATTAAAAAAACTGTAATATTAGCTAAATAGGCTAATTATAAACAATAAACACTTTAGGAGAGCATGCAGAGGCGAGGCACGAACCATGCTCTATGCCAGGGGTGCCCAACCCTGTTCCTGGAGATCTACCTTCCTGCAGAGTTCAGTTCCAACCCTGATCAAACACACCTGTCTGTAATTATCAAGTGCTCTTTCAGACCCTAATTAGTTGGTTCAGGTGTGTTTGATTAGGGTTGGAGCTAAACTCTGCAGGAA